TCAAGAATGTTTAGCAGTAGTTTGGGCTATTAGAAATTTTCATCACTATCTTAGCTCTAAACCCTTTACCGTCGTAACTGATCACTCTGCCCTCAAATGGTTGAGAACTTCAAAAATACCAAAAGGTCGACGTGCACGATGGATAATGGAATTACAACAATATGACTTTAATATTCAACATAGACCTGGGAAAAATAATGCTAACACTGATGCATTATCTCGATTAATCTCTGAAAAAGAACAAGATAATTTCTTAAAAGAAGTTTTTATGCTTACAACAAATGAAAATGATGATGAAGAAATAGAATGGCATATTTCTTCTACAAATAGTAAAACGTTATCAGAACGATCACAAGAAGAAAATTTAGAGGAAGAATTAATGTCATAATACTCTCATGCACCTTTAATCACTGTAGGATATCAATGCCCTAAAAATGAATTGGAAGATATTTTTAAAGAAAATGTCAAGATTAAGCAAGTCATAGTTAATCAACTAATAACTAAAGGAGGATCACAATGTAACTATAGTTGTGACATCGAAAACTATCATATTCATACATATTGCAAAGCCTGTAAGAGAAATTTGCCATATGGAATAATTGAACATCACTGTATCATTGGATTCAGCCTAGAACAAATTCAACTGAATATGAACCCTAACTATTTAATTAATGATATTTAGTGGGATGAACCAATCTTAGTTCAACAAGAAAACCTTTATTCTCAGCTTTATTATATACTTGAAAACCCTCAGCGTCTTCTTGTTTCCCACAATTGAATATTTTAATTTATACCTATATTTATTTTATTAGTAAAAATTATTTAGAGTGAAAGCGAAAGTGTCTACATTGTGATAGGCAGTTCAAACATCATGGAACTCAATCAATATAATAATTTATTTGTATATATAACTTTAAATCAATTACCTACATCTTTTAACACAAACGAAATTGCAAAATTAAAAAGACAATCGAAATTTTATACAGTTCAACTCAATTTCTTATAAAAAAGCAAAGACAAAAAAATGCCTCTGAACAGTTTTTAAGGGTCATCAAAAAAACTGAATTAGATGCAATCCTTTACATGATGCATAATGATCCAACAGCTGGACATTTTTCTACCGACATTATGTTTAACAAAGTTTGTACTAGATA